GGGGAGAGAGACCCCCTGGTGATAACTGAGCAGAGCTGGAATAGCGCCCAGGCCCTCTGATAGCAGGCTCTGAATGAGGCAGGTGCTGTTCGAACCTCCACCCTCCACACCCGGCTCGGGGTGGGTGGGAACATGCAAGGCCTGGGTGTTAGACCTTTCCTGCCACACAGACCGTTTCACACGTAAGCCCAGGCCTCTGCCCATGCCACCCTATTCTTACCCATGTCTCTATTTTACCCCACCCCACCCTGCCCACCCTCCCTTGATCTACCCCATCTATGTTTTTAAGACAAATAAGAAGCATTTCTTAAGAATGTGCTAATTGTTTAAAAATAATTTTAAAAAAATCAAAGATAAAATCTGTCATGTATTTATCTCCCTAAACAATGTGTCACCTGCTTGGCCATGATTCTCTGTGCTTGGCAGTTGTGTAACAACACTATGTATCCCCGGGAGGTGATCTGACATAATCAGGGAACAACCCTGATTGGATGTAAGGGGTGTTTCTCTCAGGTGTGGCCCCCGTCACTATCTCTTTTAAAAAAATTTAACAGTTTTATTAACAATTAATTCACATATCATATAATAGTTTAAACATATTGAAAAGAGTTGTGCAATCATCACTACAACCAATTTTAGTTTGTCAACTTTTATCTTACAAGAGTTAAAAGGGGAGAAAAGGAGCAGAGAGGAGGGGCTCTTCACCCTGAGAAAGAGGAGCTGGGAGGGAAGGAACCCCTCTGGACCCAGGGTCCCTCCGTTGAGAACCTCCTAGACCCAGGTGACGGGCACCTTTTCCCCAAAGCCGTCAGAAAGAGCAACTCTCCCTCCAGAGCCAATGCCTTCAACTTAGCCTTCCAGCCTCCTAACATACATGAGGACACATTTCTGCTCATTAAAACCCCTGCCTTGTTACAACGGTACTGGTTAACTGAGACCAGGTCTCACTTGAGGTTCTGGTTCACGTGAAGTGGACAGAGTTGAATGGGGAGGTCTGTCTGTGCTACTTAAGCAGGAGAGATTAAAAACAGAACAAAACATTCACTGAGGTATAACTTCAAGTACCACCACCGTCTGTCCGCGTGGCACACGGGGCTGGCTGTGCCACCGATATTTCAAATCCCAGCTGGATTATCCACGGCGGGCAGGGTTCCGTGGGTGGCTCCAGACTAACAGGGACTAGGGGCTACTTCTAAGACTTCGTCGATGGACACTGCCGGATTTGCTCGCTTTGAACACGTCATCAGGAAGTGTCCGTTGCTAGAGGAGGCTGTCCTGCTTGGTGGAGTGGAGGGTCCGTGAGGGCATGGGTGACCCTCCGTGAGATGGATGGATGCAGTAGCCACAGCAGTGGACTGGAGAAGCCCATAAGCACAAGGAAGACCCAGGGTCAGGCAGCTTCTCATGCTGCTGCCCCCAGGGCTGCCAGCAGCTGGAGCGGACTTGCTGGCAACTTTCTGTGTGTATGTATGTATGTATGCATGCATATATATGTGTGTATTATGTATGAAGGAATGTATGCACCTTACAGTAGAGTGCACTGATCTCAAGCATATAGCTCCGTGTCGCTTTATGTCTCTACCCTGCCTGGGCCTGTTGGGGCATCTGCCTTTTCATGGTGCTGTATTATTCTGAGGCCTTTGAGAAAGGCCAGATTCCAAACACAAAGCAATGCTGGGAGTTCCTTTTGGGCAAGACCTAGTGACCTAGGTCATTCACTTCTATGCAGGGCACGTAGGTTGAGAGAGTGTGCCTGCGCCCCCCAACTCCGACATGCTCCGCGCTTCTGGAGTTGAGCTTCAGAGAGAGCCCTTGGGCAGCCCAGGGGAATAGGACAAAAACAGGTAAGGAGCCTTCATTCCCCAGTCTGTAAAATGGGCGTCAATGCTGCCCTTAGCAGGCTCTCGTGAGGACTGCAGGGGGAATGTCCAGCGCAGGGTGTAGGTAGCCAGAGTTGAGTGCCCTTTCCCCAGAGGTGGGCTTCTCTGGGGGGGCTGGTTGGTTGCATGGCCTGTTTGGCCTGTGAAGTGTTGCTGAGTTGTGTGTTTATCTCTCTAATTTTCTGATGTCTTCTAAAATAAACATTTATTTAAAATGTAGTGACCTCTCCCTGCTCCCACACTTAGGCTGGGGGCGTCCCCGGTCCTAGATAGTTTGCCCCCAGGAGCAGGAGAAGGCTCCCAGGTGGAGGAGGCGGCCCCCTTCCAGCACCCAGGCTCAGCTGCCGCCAGCCTTTTTGCGATGTTTCTCTGCCCCCTGGTGGCGGGAGGGGATCTCAGGCGCCCACCATCCTGAGTGGGGCCCCGCCCTTAGGGTGCTGGTGTCCTGCCCTGCCCCTGTGCTCCCCTCCCACCACTTTGGCCAGGAAGGAATCCACCTGGATCCAGAAGGCTGGGGTCCGGGTGGGAGCAGGAGTCGACGGAGGGGCTGCAGGTGGAGGCTGTTGAGCCGACCTGCAGGTGGGAGCGGGAGGAACTGCTATTTAAGGAAGGTGTGGCCCAGAACCTGCAGTTACCCCGGCCTTCCAGTGGGTCAGCCCTCTTGCTTGCTGAGGGGGCAGTGGGTGCCCACCATGGAAAGCGCTGCCAGCCTCTGGCCCTGGGTGCTGGGTCTGCTATGCCTGCCAGGTAGGCCCCTTGCCCTCCCCCAACCC